GAACAGTAAAATAATTTACTAAACACAGTAGAGTTGATCATAACGGGGCATTCTGGTTAAAAGCATTGTTTTTCATCTATTTCTGCCCTTGTTCGTTAACATCTAGCCGATATTTCATGCATTTAAAAATGACGCCATTAAGTTGTAGTCCTTGGTTCAATGATTTTTTTGAGAATTTTTTAGATGATTATTCTAATTTATAGAAATTGGGGAGGGGGATGTTTGAAATTTTAGAAAATTGCAAAAATATTGGATTTAGGGGTTGTTAGAAATTAAAATATGAAGCGAATAATAAGAAGAGAAGTACCAGATAGTCAGCCACCAACTGGTTTATGTGCATAAGTTGAAACAAAGGAAAAACAAAAATTAACTGAAATAAAAACATTACCTGCAACATATAACTTTTCTACCCTTATTTATTTCCTTCACAAAATAATCCTCCCCCCCCCCACCACCACCACTACCACCCCCACCACCCAAAAAAACTGTCCCTTTAACAGTGACTATTATATTGCAGGTGGATCCTAACTTGCTATTAAAGGATCTACTACCTGGAACAACTTACAAAATCGACGTAAGAGATTTTAGTTATAAATGCAGCGTGTTGATGACTGTTTTGAAGGGAAGGCTTAGGATTTTCATTGATTTTTTTAAACATAATTAAATGGTTCAACAATCAATCAATCTCTATTTGTACTCACTCTTGCTCAAAAATAAATTACAACAATGAAAATATTAACAGTAAAAATTAGACTACTGCCTGCCTGGAATAACCATGGGGGCTAGCGGAGCCAGGTAGCCACTCAACATCATTATTAAGTAAAATTAGATTACAGGTCAGGAAGAAATGTGAAGCACAAATGCACACATAAAAAAAAAAAAAGAGAGGGGAGAAAAAACGCTATTTGTATGCTATGAAGTCTAGAATACAAAACATTAATATAAGAAGAGCACACAATAACTATGGCAACTAATAACAAGTTATATCTTAAAGTATAGAAGAAAAAAACATTAAGACTTGAAAAGGTGACAGAATTTAACAAAAGACTAATTTATAGGTAATTTGGGAAACAACACAACTGCTAATAAGAATACAAGTAACTAATGATCTTTGACAGGAGCTCAGCTTTTAGACTCTTGTTCTCATTAACCAGTTCTGTCATTCCTATTTCGTAGGTTGACATTTTTGTTAGTGGTTGGTCGTAATTAGAGTTCGCGGTGGCGATAGACTTCTTCACTTCATCAATCGATTTGCGTAGAGGCTCTAAAGCCTTCTCCAACAAATTCTTGAATTCCTCTGACGTTAGACCTCCCATAATGGTACGTAGATGAATTAGGACAAAATGTAAAACGAGAAAAGAAGAAAAAAAAATGGAAAGGGTAGCTTTGATAAGTTAAATTCACTGTAAATTTAACGAAGCTCAAAAATTACCGCCATCTTTCCCGCTCATCGCTGACCATCCATCAACAGGTCAGACCAAGGTTTCCTGACAACATTCCATCATCGGAAAGGCGTTTCAGCTCTTTTACTACGCCTGGTGAGCTCATTTATTTTCAAGTACTAAGAAACTAAAAATGGATACATGAAGATAGTCAGTAAAATAATAATTCAATACGTAGGTGGATCCCGAATAGGACTGTTGTTGGCAGTGACTGTCGTTTTGACAACCTGTTCAGTTCTAGTCATCTTCAGAATCATATTCAGCGGTATCACGTCAGTTGATGGTATTAAACTCTTTTTTATTGGCCTGATTGGTATTCATTGGTACGTTTCGATCCGTTCTTTTGTTACAGATGAAGAATCGTTTATTGTTAGTCAATAGCCTCCAAGATCAGCATAATTCTTCACATCATACAAATGCAGTAATTGTTTAAATATTCATTCAAAATATTCAAAGTTCTTAGCATGTTTACCTCTTCGTAGACATTTTTCAAAACTTTGACCTATTTCTCGGCACGATTCGGCTTCAGGATATAAACAGATCATTTGTCTTGCAGATACTCCTCAAAGACTGAACAACATCCGTCGAGCAAGATGTTTTGCGTATTCTTACATTTCTTCCGTTCAGTTTTAGTGAAAAATTCAGCTATTTTGCATTTTTTTCATTCACTATTGCCCAAGTAGCCTCGTTTCCAATCAAATATACTATTTAATCGATGGTATGTTACCCGCATCTTCCAAATAATTTTGGTAAGCGCCAGTTGGTTATGAAAAATTAGCCGCGGGATTGGAGCCAATCAGAAACTGCGAAATGTTTTGAATGAATTATAATAATTGTTATTGTCATTATTATCATCATCACTATATCATCGTCAATCGTCAGCGTTGTCATCATTATTGTTACTACAAGTACTACTACTACTACTACGACGACGACAACAACAAGATTGAGGTTAATTTCCATTTTTTCCCTCTACGCAGCTGTGCCTCGAAACGAAGTGAAGGTCCAATCAAAAGCTTGTAACTTTTACCCTTCGCCACAAAGGGATAGCTTTGTTGCTAACATTTCCTGGAATAAACCAGCGTTTAATTATAGCTCCATTACTGCCTACCAGTTATATTACCAAGTTGGAAGCCAACAACGATCAGGGAACATAACCGTAAGTTTTTTTGTTAAAACTTTATAACTGAAGCGGTCAACCCTGGGTTATTATTCGAGAAAATGAGGATAGTGAAAGAACGAAATATCTATTATCGACCTCAAAAAAAAATTCATTCAAAAGAAAGGAAGTAAAAGGCCACTAAACGCCATGCAAAGTGTATCTGCAGCACTAATAAGGTAAAAAAAAACACCGTTTAATACGGGTAATGACAATAAAAAAAAAACTCTTTAGGAACTCGAAAAAGGTGACTGCGACCGCTAAATAAACGTCAGTTTTACAGTAATTAAGGGAAATGATTTACTGGACTTTGTTAAGTGACCTTTAATTAAATTAATAGAGGTTAGTTTAAAACAGGTTGTTTGACTGTAGTAATTAGGTCGGTTGAAGCATTACCTGACCATAACCCTTACCCTAATCAGAAGCACCACAAAGATCTAGTGGTAAGCAAAGGCAGCATGTTTTAACAGAGTAGGCTGTCAAGGGCATGATGAGAATTGTATTCAATTTGTGTTTTTTCGCAGAGTCAAAATCACTTCTTAATCCCTGGGGTGATGCACGGCAAGCAAGTTGCGTATTGGGTAAGTTCCTTATGTGCCTGCACTGAAATTAGTCATGTATCATGAAATTGATCATTTTCAAAGTTATTTCTATAAGCCATTTACCTGGCGGGCAAGCCGACTAATTTTAGGTTTGGGTAAATTGTAAAGAAATTTCAGAACTGGTAAATTTAATACCTAGAATCGCATTTAAATTATGCACAAATCTGTTCCACTGGCCGAAAAACGACCGCAAAAGCCTGATACTGGTATTAAAGGTGGCTTTCAAGAAATGGACCACAAATTTCCGTTTGGAATATTCCGTCCGGAGAAACAGGACTACCTTTCGGGATGTTCCTTTGCTCCAGGACATTTTCCGTTGAAACGACACAAGAAAAGTTGTGTTCCATTTACTTTCCAACCGATGTTTTCGGAAACGTTTTGTAAACAACCACTGTTAGTATTAGAGAAGTTTTCAATCTTTAATTATAGCACACTGAAGGATGGAAAAATGAACAAAAACAGGCAGCTTGAAGTCGAAAACACTGTTCGATTTTTTTTCAGATCACTCCAAGATACAAACACCATAAGTGGATTACAGGAACAGAAGTACTTGGAATAGAAAAAGCACCTCGTATGTCAAGCATTGTTGAAACCATACATCCAGCTTTTTTACCACACTACTACTACTACTACTACTACTAATAATAATAATCATAATAATAATAATAGGTATAGATATCGATATCGACACGATAATGTGGCCAGGACAGTTCACTGGGACATTTCTCAAAAAACATAACTTCATGCTGCAGATGGTATGAACATGAACCAGAAAGAGAAATGGAAAGTGACAAGGCAAAGCTCCTGTGGGATTTCTCAATACAGAAACATTATGAAATACAAAGTAGAAGGCCAGATATTGTTATCCTGGATAAGGAAGAAAACTGTTGCTTTATTGTTGATAATTGCTGTGCTTGGAGATGCCCGTATAGCTGAAAAAGAGAAGGAAAAGATTGAAAAGAAGTACCAAGATCTCAGGAGAGAAATAACAAGATTGTGGAACACCAAGGCTTATGTTGTGCCTGTGGTAGTAGGTGCACTTGGCATAATTCCGAAAAACCTTAAACAACACCTGGAAACAATAGGTGTCACTATTAAGGTTGAAGTGTTACAGAAGGCGGCGTTACTTGTAACTGGAAAATTGCTAAGGAAAGTGCTCGAAGGCTGAGGCTGTAGCCGACAGCTTGCCTTTGGATTTGTAACTTACCGATGGTCATCTTTTTGTGGAATTAGATTAATAATGGAAACTTTTTTGTGTTTTTGAATCCACAATTGTAAACATCGCTACGTATAGGCAATTTACAAATGCTGCTTGAGATTGGATTATTCAAAAAAACAAAACAAAACAAAACAAAAGAAAAAAAAGAAAAGAAATCAAAATTGCATTAAGTCTGGGCTATCCCAGTTCCTATTTCTACAACGAAAGATGTAATATGCTGCTTTAATGGCTATATTTATCATTTTCTTGATTATATAAAGTTTCTGGTTTTTGTCAATGCCAATGTCATTCATCATGTCTAAGAACGTGGAGCATTCATGGGAGAAAACGCCAAGAGAGCTCCTGGAGAGATTTACAAATCACCTAATAATAATAATAATAATAATAATAATAATAATAGTAATAATAATAGTAATAATAATAATAATAATGTAGACACAGTCACTACCAACAAATGGTTGTCAAGTAATTTGAAAGGAGAAACAGAGGGACTACTTGTTGCAGCTCAAGACCAGGCAATAAACACCAGAAACTACCAGAAAATAATATGTGGCCAGCAAGTGGAGAGCAAATGCAGATTGTGTTCGCAACATGAAGAGACAGTGGACCATATTGTATCTGGATGTGAGGTATTAGCCAAAACAGAGTACATCTCCAGGCACAATAATGCTGCAGCATATCTCCATTGGAGCATATGTAAAGATCATGATATAGAGATTGCAGACAAATGGTACGAACACGAACCAGAGACCGTGATACACAATAAAGATAACAACATCACCATCATGTGGGACATGCCAGTCAATACTGATAGAACTATAACAGCGAACAGACCAGATATCATCGTTAAAGATTCAGTGAATTCCACCTGCAAACTTATTGATATGACTGTTCCATCAGATAGAAACATCGCACTGAAGGAAACTGAAAAAAAATGCAAGTACAAAGACCTAGAACTAGAAATACAGAGAATGTGGCATATGAAAACCGTAGTGATCCCTGTGGTTGTTGGTGCGCTTGGTACAGTGAAGAAGGGTATGGTAGAAAACATCAAGAAAGTATCAGAGAGAGCTAGTATGACAGAGATTCAAAAGATCTGCATGCTGGGATCTGCACGAATCCTTAGAAAGGTGCTCAGTGTATGAACAGAATGATTGACTTGAGTGACTGACGCTCTAGGTGCATGGTTTGTGCCCGGCTGATGCACAAAAAGAACACCAGCAAAGACCGTGATAATAGAGACAATAATAATAATAATAATAATAATAATAATAATAATAACAATAATAATAATAATAATAATAATAATAATGCTTTAATGAGAGATAAAAATTTGTTAAAAAACATCCAATAAAAGATTACAATATACAAGCATAAGATAAAGGTCATCACAAAATCATTGATAAAAATGTATCTAAAATAGAAAGCCTTAGGCTTGAGTAAAAAAAAAAGTAGAGAAAAATGTTCAAAACAATGCTTGAAACGTGTCTACTTTAACTTTCCAATCACATTTGCCATTGCTGCCCCGCTAAAATCAGTGTTCAACTCATGTTTAGTTGTACTGGAGCCTCTTACACGTGAAACTGCTGATCTCAATAGGTTAAAACATAGTTTTGATCTCAACCAATGAATCACAATGCTATAATCCATCTGCTTCTTATCGGATAGTTTTTGAGCTAGTTCGGTAAGAAATCGCTCGGCTTCTCTACCGTTTCCACCATATGGTGAGAACACGAAAGGGCTGAAGGAGCCAGGCTCGACTTCAATAATTCGCTGACTGTAGTGTCGCTTTTTCTCGTTCTCATTGCTCGAGAAAGCCGTGTTAAGTTTCTGGTTAAGGTGACTCTTTGCGAACGGGTTAACAATCCTGATATAAAAAAATGCACGTTGCTCCCTTTGCCAAAAACCACGTGCGCTGACTTCCAAACGAGCCTCATCAGAGGAGTTGGCACTGCTAATTAAAACTTCTCCTGTCAAAGGCTGAAGGTGTGGCTCGACCTCAACATCATGACATACGTCCTTGAGAAGGGATGCGAACAGGTCTCGCACGTCGTCATAACTCCAATGGACAAATCCGCCTTTCATACACGACATTGCATGATCAACATCGAATCTATTGTCGCAAGGACATGTACATGGAAGGTATTTCGGTGTTCAGCGGTACCTAAGGCTGAGCGCATCGTAGAATTCCCTTTTATTCAGGTCGAAGTTTTCTGACTTTAGTGGCAATGTTGTTAACCAACTCGAGGCACCCCTCATCTGTGCTAGGTCATTTAACCTCAGTTGTTCTGGGCTCATCTTCTCGCGAAGCTGCTGTAGGGTGGTGTTATTCAGCTCTTCCCTGGTGTTGGCAATGCTTCTCCTTGCGGTCTTGAGTTGTTCACTATCCATTGGTGCTGTGCTGTCCTGCTTGCTGATATGTTCAATCAGCTGTTCGGTAGCTTCGCAGGAATTACCAAACTCAATATCAGCAACAGCCGAGAACATAGGTATTGCCAAACCACCTTTCTTTGCAGGTAAGGAGAGCAAAAGTCGTTCATCCGCGGAGCATATGTGGCCATCCGTAATTGCTGGAATAAATACATTATCAACAATTACATCCAGTCGCGTCAGGTGTTGCTCGATGTTGGGCATTGTTCTGATGTAATACGTCAATTTTTTTCTTGAACCCACTCACAAATGCTGCATAAGCTGCTTGTCGTTCTGTCTCTGCAATCTTCGGCAGGACTTTCAGTTGGTCACACCACGAGCTTACCAGTTCCTCAGCGTATTTGCCGCATCCACTTTCACTTCCAATGTAGCCACCAAGATATTTTCTCCCGTCAGTTGTGATGTTGATGCTGATTCCTCCGAAGATTTCTCGTGCTTTCTCCTCAACTGTTCGCTTTACAACAAGCCACGACTTTGAAGGGTTCGGGTTATATATCACAACTTAGGACACCACAACACAATGTTATTCCACCAGCGTCGCAGTTCTAGCAGTTCACCTGTTCCACCCAGATCATCTGCAAAAGCTACATGTTTCATGTTATGTCTTTTGGAGATTCAGGTTTGATTATCTCCTACAGGGGGTTATGGCAATGGCATATACTGGCATTGCAAGGGGATCCCTTTGAGTCGTCCCTTCTGATGATGAAATTTCGGTTCTTCCGAGTACAAATAAGCGAGACGGCACACTATAGCAGTTCCTGATATAAATAGCCATCGGTGGGCATAAATACTTGATATTATGGAGGAGGACCCTTCGGTAAAGCGAGTTAAAGGCGTTGTCTGCATCCGCCAAGAGCAATGGGTTAGTGGACTCTTCCTCCAACATGTCACTCATAGCATGTACAGCGGCATCACATCCACCTGCTTGACCGGCACAGAGTTGTAAATTTCCTGCAGAACTCATGATCTCTGGTGAATGACTGGAAGAATGGCTTTCCCAACAATCCTTCGTAGTACTTCACCGACACCAATAGGTCTAACAACAGGGTTCTTATCTAAAGGAATCAGCCGGCAAGCTGTGTAAGCTTCCAGGTTGTGTATGTTCTGCCGTTTTCAACAAGAACTTCTGTTTCAATAGTACTAATCTTTAGGCAAAGGTGGCTAATGCACTCCTAAGATTATGACCACAGGCTCCAGAATTCTTCAACACCAATATTCTCCTCCACCCATCAGCGTCTAAACCGAAGGGCCCGCTAGACCCCCTTGTCCGTAGGGCTGCATTTGCAATGGAAGACTGTGTTATATTTTGAAACACATCAGGATTGTTATGGTCTCTCTGTGCGTTTACCATATATAATAATTACATGCACACGCATAGATTCAATAAAACGTGTTTCTAGTGAACTGCCATGTTGTCCGGGTGTGTTCTCCGAACTCTCGTCAGTACATGACAATTTTGGCGACAAGGATGGGATCTTAAGGGATATTTTACAGCAAGTGAAGAAAGTGAAGACATTCCTAAAAAAGATCCATACGACGTTTCAAGATGCCAAACAAGTCTGATGCGGCACCAAATCCGCTTCGTAACATCGGCAAAGTTCAGAAGTTCGCAGTGGGAGCTGACTTCGAGGCGTATGCAGAACAGCTAGAATTTTTCTTCGTGGCCAATGGAGTGACCGACTCGAAACAGAAGAAAGCCGTCCTGTTAACTAATCTTCCCACTGAAACGTACCAACTGGCGAAAGACTTGATGACCCCGATATTGGTAAGAGAAGATTCTCTCACTTACGACACGATCGTAGAGCGTCTTCAAAAGCAATGGAATCCCCAGAAATCTGCCTTAGTTGCCAGGTATGAGTTTGACAACCAAGCCCCTAACGCAGGCGAAACGGTGAGTCAGAATGTTGCTGTTTTAAAGCATCTAGCTACGGATTGCAAGTTTAATGATGCCATGCGTTTGGAAAGGCTCAGGGATAGATTGGTTTCGGGTATTCGAGATAAGAGAATGATGTCAGAGCTCTTGAAACTCAAAATCAAGGAACTGACATTTGACATTGCTGTAGCGAAGTCCATCGCTATTAAGCAATCTTACAAGGATGTTGAAGCTCTCCAGGGGGGTAAAGAGTTAAACCCAGTCGATTTGTTATCCAAGTCAAGGCCAAGCAAGAAGCCTGAATCTAAGAAAGAAGCTAAGCCTTCAGAGAAAAAGGGTTTCCCATCCCCTAAAGAGCCGGGTGACCAACGTTGCTACCACTGTTTGGGAAATCATGATCATAAAAGTTGTCCGTTCAAAAAGGGAAAATGTCACCACTTTAACAAGACCGGCCATATTGTAAGGGCTTGTGAATCCAAGAAAATGGAGACACAAGCAGCCCAACCCCCAGCAAATTATGTGGACAGTGATGATGGGGACAGAGATGATTATTTGGGATCCCCTAAGGTTAATACCCCGAAGTACAGGGAGGGGTGGTCAAGATGGAACTAGACACAGGTTCAGCTGTCTCTGTGCTCCCATATAAACAGTATAAGGAGCATTTTGGTCGTTTAAAGCTTGCAAAGAGCCTTGAAACATTTAAAACCTACACTGGACAGAAAATCACACCTAAGGGAGAGATAAAGTGTAATGTTAAGTTCAAGGGCCAGGAAAAGGAATTAACCCTACAATTGGTTGAGACACCGGGGCCAGCATTGTTTGGGCGTGACTGGCTTTCCAAAATTCAGCTGAACTGGGGTGAAATCAAAGCCCTTAAGCTCAGCAAGACTCCGGAAGGGGTCATGCAAAGCAAAGTGGATAAGTTGTTGCAGCAGTACGAGTCTGTATTTTCTGAGGGTGTGGGCACAGTTAAAGGCCACAAGGCTGATTTGAAGGTCGAGGAGAGCTGCCAGCCTAGCTTTCGCAAGCCACGCCAAGTTCCATATGCACTCCGCCCCAAGGTAGAGGTAGAATTGCCACTTTTAGAGAGGGACGGTATTCTTTCTAAGGAAGAATACAGGGAATGGGCAACCCCGATTGTCCCAGTAGTTAAGCGAAACGGATCAGTACGTGTGTGTGGCGATTTCAAGGTCTCAGTCGATCCCGTACCTTTTGCTGAACAGTATCCTCTGCCGCGCATAAAGGATATTTTCGCGAATTTGGGTACCTGTAACTACCTGTAACTAGTGAAGCAGTTGCTAGAGGAACACGTCGTGACCCAGACCTGGCAAGGGTGTACGAGTCAATCGTGAAAGGATGGTCTGCTCGCATATATGGAGACAAGCCTTACTACGAGCGGCGTAATAAACTGACGGGTAGACAGCGTGGTCAGTTAGAGGTTGGTGACTCGGTGATGTCACGAGATTATCGAGGGGATCTGAAAAGGCGCTCAGGACTGATTTTCAGCAAGACAGGTCCACTGATGTACGAGGTGCAGGTGGCACTAGGGATTATTTGGCGTTGACATATCGACCAGTTGAAGCCAACGGCAGTTGAGCACACAGTTGAGGTCACTGACACCGACACTGTTGAGGTCAGTCAACCCGAAGTGGCCAGCTCACCACCAGTGCCAATCCAAGTGAGTGCTCCACCTAATGTGGTTGGTACAGTTCCAGCGATTCCCGTGGCAGATCAACCGGCCATCTATTAACAGTGAAGGATCGGCTTCGCTTGCCTCTGGGTGTTTCCGTTTCACCTCATTTATAGTGCTTTGGGATAAGGGGAGTACACCTCTGTTGCTATGTTGATCCAAGAGCTTCATAGCAGCATTTATCTTTCCTTCAAGCTCAAGCTTAGCAAAGATTTTAGCTAATCGTTCTTCGTTTAAGCCCTTGAGGTTCGTTGGCAATTTGGCTTGGATCGTACTAGCCTCATGAAGCAATTCATCAAATTTACCCAACTCCCATGGTACCAAACGCCTTTACAAGCACTAGGAGTGTTCTGTTGCTGTTGATTTGAATGTTGGCTTCTGAAGAAGTAGGGCAGCCATTACCATGAGGACTTTTAGAGCAATATCTTCCTACAGCTGCTCAGACGGATATTCTTCCCATGATTAGTAGAAAAAGATCGTAGACACAGGTTGCATTGAGAGTAGGCAGGAATTTGCCGAGTTTGTATTTGCTGAAGATCGTGTTGATCCCGCTGCACTTTCACTTCAATGACGACGAAAAAGCTAATCCACTAGTTCAGGAAACATGCAAGATTATCAGAAGTGTGATAAATATTACATCTTCATGCTTATTTTCACGAACAACTACAAAATTCACTGACAGGCTAGAACCGCCATCCTACCGCCAACTTGGTCAGCGGTCAGGCTGATAATACTTTAATTATCCTTTCTTGTATGGCTTTTCAAGGATTCACAAAACTTAAATGGAACGTAACATGGTTGAGATTCAATAATCTATAATTAGTTGATATTTACATAACCAGATTTGGTTAATATTAAAGCTGAGGAATAGAAGCGCTTGTGCATAGTTACTAAAGATAAATATATTTTTTGTACTTTTAGTTCCATCTGATAAGGAGGTCGAAGTTGGGCGTATTCATGTTGGGACGTTTTTACGTGAGGAAGAGAAGAGCACATTCTCAGTCAACTTCACGTGGCCAGGACCATTATTTAACTTCACTCTTCGTGCCTATGAATTTTCGTACGAGTTGACGGGTTGCATCTCCAGTCAGACCATATTTCACGGGAACTTGGTATGTTATAAACGAATTACCTTCCTTTTTTCGGTAATGGTCAAGCATTTGAAATGATCAAAATCGTTACATTAATGAAAGAATGTTCAATCCAAACGCGCTTCAGCAGGGTAGACGGTGTTGATGATATATGCGATTCAAATTTAAGGCAAAACGTTAAAACCATGTCGTAAAGGTAACAACAACAACAACAACAAGAAAACGCTGAAATGCCTTTCTTTACACGTCAGTCGGCGAAAACCGTCATAATTCTCATAAAAGCCTTATTATCTTTCCATCACAAAAAGCGACATTCTTTCTTGTAGCGTCCTTGAATTCATATCAGTGATGATAACTTTACCACGAATTAATGCTAACACGGCTTACAAGCATTTTGAAGCGTTATATCCCAAGATATTTATTCGGAAGTCATGATTGTTCTTTACTGACAAAAACGACGTTATCATTTACCAAAAATGCCTTGACAAAGATAAATAAGTCAGCTGTTTAAAACACTGTTTAAGAATGTGTTAGAATTATTTTTTGAGAAACAAAACTAGATAATGTTAAAAATGTAGTTCTCAAAGAAAGCTTAAAACGTCAGCAATCTTTGAAGCCAGTTGCTTTTCTCATATTATTGAATCTGATTTTTAACGTTCGTTGCCAGACGACACCAGAATTTGAGATGATTGGAGTGAGGCCAAAGGAAACTGTAACGCTAAAAGTAGGTACTTATTTTTTTTATTAATCAAAATGATGATAATTTATAACAATTACATACACTTCAAAGCAAAATTTTGAATCACAACCAGTTGGTGTTGTGTTGTAGGTGACGCCTGTGTTCGACAACGGAAATATCCAGAGAATTGAAAGTCAAGTTAAGGTTACTGCACCAGGTTAGAATATTATCACCTAAATTACCCAATTACCCACAACTGGGCAAAGCAAAACATACATGCGTAACATTACGAGTACCTTCAAACATAAAATGGCTCATGATATAAAGGAATTTAAACGGATATTTAACAGACGCAAAGATATTTTCGAACTTCTTGAGACCATAAAACTATAAATAACGAATAGCCCACGTTCGATATCTTAAAATCCTAACATGACTCCGGGGCTTTAGGGACAATATATTGTCTCGCAGCTCCCAGAAGAGACTTCAGCACGAAGAACACCAAACCAAATATTTTATTTAGGTGACTCTGGGACCTAAAGTCGCCTAAAATCGCCTTGAGTCGCCTGAAGTCGCCTAAGGTCTCCTTTAGTCTTCTTAAGTCACTTTAAATGATTATAATCTTAAAGAGGTTCAAATTATCTCAAAGTTATTCCTTTTTTAGTTTTCTATTTCCAGAATGCATGATTCCTCATAAAGTGAGTAAGAACCCAGGTTCAATAAGATAAGCCACAGACCCACCCCACCTTGCTCCCGCCCCCCGCAAAACAAAACTCCAACAGAGACTTTAGACCCTTTAATTTCTTCCCCGCCCTTTAACTTATACATTGAATTACTTTAGGGAATTTAATACGCATAATAATTAGTTGTAAGCGATACAAGAATAATCATTCCCTTATTTTTTATGCAAAAATGACAACATATGGTACACAACTTCAACTAGTCACTTGTACAGGTATTTTATTAATTTCATCGGGGAGGTTTGTCTCGTATTTCCGAGTAAAAGTGTCGTTAAAACTCATTCAAAGGTTCAAGTTCTAGCTACATTGTATTAAACAGCATGCAAAGAGAGTAGACAGAGTAGTGTCCAGGCAATAGCCCTGGGGTACTGGATTTTATGAACTGGTGAACTGCGTTTTTAACTTGCCTGGCAAGTAGAGGTTTTTAGGGAATTGAGATTACAGAAGAACTCTAATCAATCCCATTCATAAAAAAAATGGGGGTAGTCAATATGGCTTTCAGGCTAGTGCATGCTTGGTGCAGCTTCCTGGAATAGCAAAAAAAAAATAATTAAAAAACGTAAGTCTCTTTTCTACTGCTTTGTGAGAGTCCAACATTAAAAGACATTCCAGGTAACTAAGATCAAAACAGGTTTAAGCGCCAGGAATCTCATGCTTTTATCTATGTTCGCTGCGTTTGTCCTTTTCGTGTTCGCGCCTTTAGTGTAGTTTTCTAGTTCATTAGTCATTCATTGTACGCGTACCTTTGTTCTTCGTGTTAGGTTTTTTGCATATCGCGTATTTAGCTTTGATTGTAACTTTCGCGTCAGTTCTTCGTTGTGCTTGGTCCAGTTTATAATTGAGTGTTTGGGTCTTTGCTCGTCTTAGTATTTCGTCCTTATTTCGCTATCGTCTTGTAAGTACCTCGTTTGTTTCATTCGCATTTCCAGTTTGCCTTGTTGCTTTCGTTCAGTTTGTAGGTTACTTTATCTTGACTTTGTATTTGTTTAATTGTCAATTTTCAGTACCGCTATACTTCACATCGCTTGGTCTTGCTTCGGTTCGCTTGTTTCACCAGTTGTAGAAGTCTTGAAATAAAGTTTGTGTGTTGGAAAACTATAGCGCGTAAAGGCTGCGATTATATTCGTAAAGACGAGAGTTTTGGATGCTGGACGATGTCTCGTGCGGTTCAGGAGGCCAATTTGTCGAGTTCCACCGGGAGAAATGATCAAGGTGTTCGTCGTTCAAGTACCCGTTCGCGGAAGCCTAATTCTTCGTTGTATCAAGAAGCAGTTACAATGGAAAGGATTCCAGAACTTAGGAAGAGAAGAGGTGGAGTGCTCTCTGTCTTGATAGTTAAGCGTAAAGAAATTGACCGCTTATTAACGGATGAGAACAATCTTGAAGGAGTGAACGTGAAACTGACGGAGATAACTTCCCTTTTTCAAAGACTTACAGATGCACACGAGGAGTATAATGTCGCCCTAATCTTTGAGAGCCAAAGACAGGAATCAGTGGCTTAATTCGCTAACATTGAGTCGAGTTTGAATTTCTTTTGTCAAACGGTTACGTAGTGGTTGCGTGTAACGGAGATCCGGATTCAAGACCTTGATGTTACTCCCGATGGCAGTGTCTCACAACTTGGTTTTAGGAACAGGAAACGATCCGGATGTGGTTCCGTGTACAGTCAATACTCTCGAGCTAGTTCTATTTCTGTTGCAAGGGCAAAAGAAGCTGCAAGAACTGCTGAGCTACAGGCCGGAGTACACGCCCTAAAGCAGCGTCAGCTTACGAGACTGAACTACGGCCCAAAAAGGAAGAACTTGATCTACAGTTCAAAAAGGATCTGTACAGTACCGCAAATGAACCCCAACCGCAAATGATCCCCAAAATGGACCGCAAATGATCCTCGACCACAAGTGATCCCTAAAGTCGACCTCAAATGATCCCGTGAAAACTTTAGGAATGGAATGGATTTTATGGGACTGATTACAAAAAAGGACTGATTATAAAAAAAGAAACCTTTTTCTCTCGCCTTTTAAACAAAAAGGGAAGGAGGACGCTACATCTCAGGTCAATTTATACAAGGCGAAAAAAAAAATGGAATAAATCTGAAAAGGTATGGTATTAACCGTATAGTTCTTCCTTTGTCGATTGCTTCAATTTTCTTTCAAGAATGTTTCGTCTTTTGTAAAATTTTAGACAGGCAGGACGTTACGAAGAAAAATTATTTTAACGCCTAGAAGCTCAACTTTTCTACTGAGGAATACAAAGCCGGGCACCCTCTACCTAACAAGAGCTTTATTGACTTTACTGATCTTTTTGAAAGCGTGAAATTAATCAGCCAGAATATTTCATTTTGATTTTTTTCTAAAGTGTTAATTTTACGTGATAAACCGCAAGACATTTGTTCCTAACTTAGGTGCCCGTTACGAAACAAGACATGATTTAACATAAACACAAGTCAAAATGTCCCCGAACTTATCAATGTCCACAGGTTTCGGTTTATTTCGAAATAGCAACTTTTCTGACATCTCATGAACGTGTTGTGAATAGTTATATTAGCGTTTTTATGTATATTCATTTGTTGTGCTTTGCTGAAGACAGTTACCAGGAATCTAAACCTGGTAATGAGAAACGCAAAGCCAGGTAAGCAGTAGTTATCGCGTGACAAAACATCGTAAGAAACCGTCACATTCACGGACTAAAACAAAATCGCTTATGATTATTCGGATCCAGGAGGCACTTAGGAGAAAATTAAACAACCTAAAACCCTTATTTAGCGGCAATGAAGAGCACTGCATTTCAAAAGAGGTCAAAGGAAATGCTCTTGCATCAAAGGGCAAATCATGCCGACCAGAAACAACAATAACCGCAGAAAATGCGTGTCATGACCTCTCAGTATGAAATAAGCGGCAAAAATCATATTTACTCAGTCAAAACGTTTTCCTCAGAGGTATAATCTACCCGCCAGAGCCGGAAAAAAATCATTGAAACAAGCAGCATTTTAGCATGAGGTAAAAGTGGTGTGTTGCCTACCGACTTCGTTTTTACTCTTGAATGATTTTTTTCATTTAGTTTATATTCATATATTTATTTGAGAAGTAAAATTTAGCTTTTTAACCTGACTTATTGTAATAATAATAAAATCGACACGATTATCCGCTAACTTGAGTCCAAATCATTCCCATCTTTCTTTCGGGATCATTTGCGGTCGACTTTGGGGATCATTTGCGGTCGAGGATTATTTGCGGTCCATTTTGGGGATCATTTGCGGTCTCGGGATCATTTGCGGATGGGGATCATTTGCGGTACTGTACATATCAGTTAAAACTGAAAACGGGATTCAAGAAAGCAGCGGCCAGGAAAAGCGCATATGCTAAAGCTGATTCTGATAGGATCACGCGTGTCGCGTCCTCCTCGCTCACCTCTCGCGTTCCTCGCGTGGATTCGCGAGCGGAGGCTATTTCTGATGGTTTTTTTCGAGTCCATGGTGCCAATTTCAGACCTGAAAAACACAAGGTTCCAAGTCAGTCCAGTTCAGACTGATGAGCAGTCTGGCCTCAGTGACCAAGCCTTTCACATCCTCGAACAGCAGAATCGTGTTATGGAGGAGTTTGTGAATCAACAGAAGAAAAACACGCTACCGCGAAGACAGTTGCCTATCTTCGATGGGAATCCACTCAGCTACTGCACCTTTATGCGTGCCTTTGAGACTGTGATCGAGAGTAACGATCAAAGTGATAGTGGCGGGAGACTGTACTATCTCGAGCAGCATACGAGCGGAAGAGGGCGGGAGATTGTGCGAAGTTGTATGTACCTTAACCCTGAGGAAAGCTATTCCAAGGCGAAGAAGCTGTTGAAAACTAGATTTGGCCAAAAGCACAATATCGCTTTGGCTTATGTCGATCAGCTAACTAATGGTCCCTACACCAGAGCTGAGGACGCTGAGTCACTGGAGGGCTTCTCAATTCTTCTGTCAAGTTGCACCAATACCCTGAAGGTTATCGGATTTTTAAACAAGATTGAAGGTTCAGACAACATGAGGAAGATTATCGAGAGACTGTCACCTAAAGTACAGAGTAGCTGGCGAGACAATGCTGATCGCATCCTCGATGCGACAAGAGAGAAGTTTGTATAGAAGACATTGCGTCATTTGTTGAAGTGGAGTCATGTGCCCTAAGTCATCCAATCTTCGGAAAACTTCCCTTCTTGGCTAAGGATAAGAAGAAGAGCCAGGGGGCTTGAGGGGCCATATCAAAACCCGAGGGTTCTGGTGCCGGTCCTAGAGAGCTAAGCAACTTCTCCACTTCATCTCAAAAGAGTCTCATGGATCAAAACAAGTCTCAAGAGAAGAATTCTGAAGATCTCTCGAAAAGGAGCTGTCCTCCTTCCCATTTTGTTTAAAAGGCGAGAGAAAAAGGTTTCTTTTTTATAATCAGTCCTTTTTTGTAATCGGTCCCATAAAATCCATTCCATTCCTCAAGTTTTCACGGGATCATTTGCGGTCGACTTTAGGGATCACTTGCGGTCGACGATCATTTGCGGTCCATTTTGGGGATCATTTGCGGTCTCGGGGTCATTTGCCGTTGGGGATCATTTGCGGTACTGTACAAGCCCGTAATCCGTTGGGTAACTCGTTCTAATCCTTTGCTCCTGTGAATTTAAAAGTAGACTGGCCAATAATGGATTTTACTTTAGGCAGATGAATTTCTGGTCTATCTCTTAAGGTCCTACCACGGCATTCGGATCTCAAGTTCTTATAATTATGAAGTTGCTTAGGACAACGCTGATTGTTAAAAATTCTGAACACTAGCTGAAGGCGCATAAATCCTCGCCTACTAGATAGCGTCAAAAGGTCGAGTTTGTCTCTCATCGTTTGTGAACAAGTCAGGTAATTTGTCCTTAAGAGATAGTCCTCAAAGCTTTGTTTTGTAATCGTTCTAAAAAAATCAGAATTCTTGTTTGAGCAGGATCCCCATATAACACAACCGTTATCTTAAATGGGCAAAATTGTCGCTTTATAAATCTTCAAAAGGGTTGTTGGATCCAGAAAAGAAGGAAATCCTATTCAGCAGCCCAAGTTTAGGGTAGACTCTTTCGCCGTCTTTTCGAAACTTTTACCCTCTACGCCAACAGAAATAACCTTCAAGATCTCCTTTATTCTCGCAAGAAATTAAATGTGACTGTGCTGACTGTTTTATTTTTAGTTGACAAATGGTAAAAGCTATTTTCTGCATTTTTCCCACGTATAAAAAATTGGCATATTAAAAACAGCATGCAACGGAAGTAATTTCGGTTGGCTGATTCAGCGAATGTCAATCAATCTAAAAAGTGGGCTGCAGATGTTTCGTAGAAAGTTTGTATCAGGCTCTCTCTTCGTTTCGCCTTGCCCGCCGGAATGTTATTTACAAAGCGAAACGAAAATAGAGCCTGATCTCAGCAGGTCAATTTTCACGCAAAAGCGATCACAAGAAGGAGAAAAGCTTGGTTTCAAATACACATGAGCAGAACACAGCCAAACACTTTTGTACACAGTTATTTGTAGGTCACTCATTTTCCTTTTCTGTTGCAGATCCTGATCCAACAACTATAAACGTTCGAAACCTGTCCAAAACAATTCTCATCACGAGCAAACCAGACCAGTTCAATTATTTAGTCTCATGGGAGATGCCCTTCCTCAAGGAAAGCAGAGTGAACAAATACGTTATAACCTGTAGTCTCTCCGGTAACCCAGACAGGGCAGAAAGATGGCAGATAATAACGGTAGTGCATATAGATTTTGTCGCCTCAGCATCCTTTTTATCATTCTCGTCATTCTCTCTATCTTTCAGTTGCAGCAGGATAGGAACAGTCGGTAGGGCGCTTGACTGTTAAGCGGGAAGTGTTTGGTTTGCAGTGGCAGATATAGACCTTCAGATGAGGGGAAGGGGGCGGTTATCCAGACGCTGAGATAAGGGGGGCCCAGTCTCAAATAATTTTTTTTTCTGCCCTTCAGACCTTACTTTGGTCTAAAAATAGGGGGGCGGGCCCCCCAGGCCCCTTCCCTGGATCCGCCACTGGTTTGATTCCGATTTCGAGGCCTTACCTATATTCAGGTTGACGACGTGAAGCGACCTGTCCTCGACCGATTAGTACTTAAGTGCTGAAACAACGACACTCAGATAAAGTGCAATTCTTTTCGTTCTGATAAACTTTGTTTAAAACCGTTTTGTTCCTTTTTTTTTTACGGCAATGAACGTTTTAACCTAAACGCTTGTGTAGCCACCAAAACCACAACCTTTAATTCAGTGAGCTACATGTAGGTGTTGCGCGTCAAACTCATGAACATAGACTACAAACATGGTTTCTGGACAAAATACAGGAGACGAAAATAAAATGAAACACCATGCACTAACAATAGGAAACGACGAGATACAAAAACGCTAGCAGAAAACACTTACAAACACGTGTAGAAACGTCCTGCTGGCTTTGATGAAAATCAAATGAAAACCCGCTATAAAAGGAAAAAACAAAAGCAACC